ATTTATTTATTTTTCTTAAAGAATAATGAATATTGTAAAAGTGTCTACATATTATTATCGAGTAGCTTATAACTTTCATGAATATTAAATGCGAATTTAAATATCATGTAAATAAAATACGACCACAGGATGGATATATTACCATATAAAATGCATTTACAACGGTAAACGAAGGAAAATGTTATTGATATGACACAGTATATATTATGAACATTATGAATGATGCCTTCGATATTAAAAAATTATAATTATTATTGAGATTTGTATATTTTGGTAATATTATATACTATTTTATACGTGTATATATATTCCCTTAAATGTTCAATACTTAATGTGCATACATTCTTTATATTTTAATTTGACATGGAACATGTATGGTTCTTTTTTTTAATCTGTTAACACATTTTTTTGAAAAATAAATTAAAAATATTACATTTTTTTTCACATGCAGGTAGAAATTAAAAATTAAGCTTACTTTTTTTATTATTAAATAATTATACTGTACACGTAATACATATATATGGGGAATTATAGTTTTACTTCTAAAATAATGTCATAATATTAAAAAATATTCAATACATATGTATTTTTATTTTTTTTTTTATGTCATGGTCTTTAATCACAAGCATATCCAAGTACATTATTACATTTCTAATACTACTCAAATACTATAATATGATTTAGCAGTGATTTACTCAATTTCTGTTTCAACGCAATGGTACTTTATAATTTTAAATTGTACTTTGTGGTAACAATGATATGAAGATAAAATACATGTTAATTTTAATAATTTATTTATCTGTGTTTATTACGGCGAGATCAGATATGTATATTGACTGAATTTTATCACTATGATAAGTCTATTGATAAAAAGTTGCATTTTAATAATTTTAATAATCAAAAATTGGTTTTGGACATTTTTATTTTTTTTTTTTTATAAGGCTACAAATACAAATGTTTATTAGCCTACTGTAATTTGCGTGTCTAGTGGTTACATTAGGTTACAGATAATTTTATTTTAACATTAATATTTATAACTGTATTTGCATATTGCTGGTTGTTGTGTGACGTCGTTGGTACGTTGTCTTATATGCTCGTTGTGAGATCAGCCATCCTGATGAAATTAGTTATGATTTTTTTTTGTCCTGGTCCGAGTGCATCTTTGAGTGAGCTGGTGCTTATGTTTGCTTTTGTTCTAGCATTTTGGTAAGTGGGATAGTCTAGGAATAGGTGTTTAACAGTGAGTTCACTTTTGGACGATTATTTTTCAACATTCGGTTAATATATCTTTAAATATTTTTTCAGAACCAAAAAAAAAACAATGTTTAAAAAAAAAATACAGTATCACATAATTATTCTTGTTTCATATGTATTTACGAGTAAGAATGTTGAAAACATTGTTCACTGACATTTGTTTAGTTAAATGGTAAATATTTCCAAACACGTATTTATTAATTGAAATTATAATTAAAACCAACTATTACAATTGATACACATAAAATGTGTAAAAATATATTATATTTTAATGGAATCGACATAAAATGTTTTTATAGTGCAGTCGTAGATTGAACATAGAAAAAATTCTCGAACATTTTGTTTAATGCATGACGTAGTTGTTCTATATGAGATAATATAGTTTATAAGTACTTAAGGTATATATGAAATACGAAATCTAGAGCAATAAAGATGATGGAACAATTTGAAAACAAAATCAAAGAAAAAGCGATTCAATTTCATTGGACGTTAAATTAAATACCATTAAACGCGTGCCTTGAATACATTACGAATATCTCCGTGAATATAGAATATATGGAATACTTCAAAAAGTATTACATTATTTTTTTTGTTTGTTTTTAATAATGTCTTATTTTGATATTTATACATGTTGATATAATGTAATGTCATTTTTTAATCACTAGTAAGAATCAAAAGGAGAACAAAAACAATGATAATCAACAATCATGTTTCTGTTAGCCAATTCTTATTCGTAGCAATATTATGCAAAATAGTTAAATTACTAAGAACCTGAATGAAATTGTACTTCAATAACATATTAATCAAATATGTTTTGATTACTTTAAATTTCAGATATTCATATCTCATACTTTTCGAGATTCATAATTCAATGTATTAAGCTAAAAAAAATTATATTATAACAATTACACTAGCTTAATATGAGTGAAAAATGAATTGTTTATTTTTAACACTATATGTGATACAATAGTTTTGTTAAATAACTAAATCTAAAATATTTGTTTTAGTTCCGAAATATTACAATATAAAAGCTAATAAAATATTTTTAGTATAATTTATTCTTTAAAATCGAATCAATCATTTCGAAGAGAACCAGAGAGTCAGAATTTGATTTTTTTCGGAAACGTAATTAATTTAGTTATTACGAAAAAAACATCAGTCAAGAATTGCATTTTTTGAAATTCTGTACCTGCGTTACTGTGATAAATGGTTAATGCGATAAAATATTTCATTTATACTTATAGTATTCAAAAAATTAATGATAGTATAAATTTTTCTTTTTTCCATCAAACCCATTTCAAAATAACTGATTTAATTTGGATTCATATTTTAAAACAAAACGAATAAATACAGATGGGTCATTACATTATAAACATAAATATCAACAGATGTGTTACATTAAACAAGATTGATAAAAAATAAATTATGTACTTGACCGGGAAAAAGTTTTTTACAGTTCATTTCTTCACCTTAACTGTGAAAGTTAAATTTTTAAAATATTCTACTCCCCTTTAGTGTTCAATTTATTAAAATTTTGTATGGAATATTATGGATTTGTAAAAGTGTTTGAGAAAAAATAAAATATTATTGTAGATAAGAATAAATTTTGAAAACTTAAATACAATATAACAAAATAATTTAACAGAAAACCATCGTATAGAACATATACGTACCTATTACTTATACGTATACATATACGTAATAGAACATATGATCTAGAAAAATCATAAAGTACGCAGAAAAATAAAATATTTACTGTATACGACCCTACATGTTTACTCTATTCTATTTGTAATTCATTCGATCATGAACAAGAATCTTACTCAAATGGAGAACTCAAATAAACTTAAGTCAGCTCGAGTAACTTGAACCTTAAAACAAGAACATTTTTCCTAGTTATATATAAATATTATGTCCAAAAAATATAAGATAATTCGTAATTATTATTGCACAGCTGTGTTTTAATTTACAACTCGATCGATGTCTGCCACTAGAGTACATCTATTACACTGCATTAATTTTGTGAAAATTGCTCTAAAAATCACTTACAAACCCTTCAAAAAACATTATTACTGTTTCTAAAATTAATTTTTTTTCGAATCATGCCAATATATATATATGTATAAATATAATAAATAAAATAAATATATAAATAATGCACATTTATATTTTATGATATTTTGAGTTCTCTGTTCATTGGAATACACTGTTTTATACATTTTAAGCTAATTATATTATTAGTTTTGAACTAATTTGTTAATATGAGTAGTTTGACAATATTTCACAAATAAAATAATATTGTATATCGCTCATCTGGAAAAGAAACGACACAAGTCAAAATGTGAAATTTTCCAGGAGAGCGGATTAAACATTTTTTTTATACATGTACCATTATATTGAAATATAAAGCAAACATAGTATTCCAAATAACTCTAACTGTGACATTTTTCTTGATGTGTATCGCTGTATAAAAATAAATAACTCGAAACATGAGAGTTTTCTTAACACAAACGCATTTATGTTCGAATGCGGTTTTGAAATAACTGATAAAGTGACACTATTCTTGGGTTAACGAGTGTTATTTTCTTATAAAAAGAAAATTGAATATTTGATTAACATAAGTGTCATTTTCCACGATAAAATACGCTTCCTTTAATTATTATGTATAAAAAATCGGAAATTGATATTTTTTGACTTATATTGTTTCTTTTTTCCGGATAATTAGTTTGGAAATTAATTTTCCTTTTACTTGCTATCATAATTGTTTTCATGGTGAGTACGCAATGATTATTTAATCAAATTTTCAGAATTGTTTAGATTATCAATGATAGATACACGACATTGTACATTAGATATCCTCATATAGACGTAGTTTAAAATAGCGTGTCACGTAGATTTTTTTCAAAGTTAAATAAATAATTATAAAATAAATTTTATTTTTGTAGGGTCATGAGATTTATAATATATCATTAAATATTTTTATAATAAATATTAATTATTATTAATTATTGTAATATCATTTTATAATTTTCAAGTATCAAAACAAACTTAAATACAAGTTTTATATGTTTATAATGCTTAAAAATTTTTTCGTGAGAAACCAAAGTTAAAATCTCGGTATTATAAAGAAATTATATTACTAGACTATAAATAATAAATGCGTAGTTGCATTTTTTCGTTAAAAATATAATCATAATTATAATAAATTCGAGTCACTAAACGTAAACACGTGCTCGATTACTAAGTACACGCATGCGCACGCCCCAGAAAATAAAATAAGAAAGAAAGTATTATAATATATTGCTTTATAGATTTTAAAGAAAACCCACGTAGTTTTGATTTCAGTTTCAGGTTCGTGGTGTTAAAATCGTTCCGTACGTGTGCTTACGTCGTCCGTTCAGTTTTATCGATTAAAAATGCAATAAAAAGGTCGTTAGCATACATTGGTCGTTCGTCTGGTCTTACGAGAGTATGTGATCGATCGCACGTGTACAAAATTACAATTTATCGTGTTCTACACATATTCTACGAGTGAGAGGACCGAAATGATTAGATATGATAAAATTACAATAATCATCATAATACTTACTACTAGTCATCGTTATAAAAATAAATATATACATATAACAGATAATAAAACGTCTATTATGCGTCTAAATATAGATCGTGGGAGTGAGCATAGAGGTCGAGTCGTATCTCTATACTCTATTTTAATGCAAAGTAAACGGTCGACCGACCTGCAATATCCATTCCCGGCGTAGTCGAGAGAGCAGTGCGCGCTCGAAAACAATATTTTCAACTGGAATTTCGTATATTTTATTTGTATTTTTTCGTTTTACGTTTAAACATTATCATCAACCCGTCCGTATAGTTATGAGGCCGATCGTGATTGTCGCGGAATACCAGTCATCAATGTTCGTCAACGGTGTAACAATCATATTTCTGGTGTTGGAAATCAAATAGAGTCGTCCGGAGTCTTGTGAAAAAAAATCTGGGCACCACAGACAACAATAATTCACGACTAAAACAAAAAAAAATATATCATAACAATACAATACCGGTCTGCTGCACTGCACTGACGAAAAATCACGAATTCCGACAACGAATTCAAAATAGTAATTTACGCATAATATCCGTTCGAAACACACTCGAAATTGGTATATCAGCATTATCGTTATGCATTAGGATTCTATTATAATATTGAATCGTTACGATATATCGTTTGATTAAAGTAATTACTAATTTCTTATCTATTTATTTATTCTTGCATTTCTTCTATTTCAGAAACTAAGTAAATCGTTCAAGCCATAGCCGAAAACCGTTGACCAGCGGAGAACCATGAGGCTCTTGACGATCGCCTGGACTTTGGTAGCCGTCACGTGGTGCTGCGACAGCGCTACCATCTACGAACCATTGGCTCGGGACGCTCGCTGGTATGATCCCAGAATTCAAGATTTGGAACTTTTCGACGTAAGTGTTTATTTGCTTGTCGATTAAATTGACCATTAGGCTGATGATACCTTAGGAAATGAGAATGGTTTCGAAATCATTAATAACATGTTTTTCGATATAACCTATCATCAAAATGTTACTAAAATACTTTGCAAACATCAAATTGAATACCGATGTATACACCCCAATAACAGTACTCAGTGCCGTATTATCGTGATTGATATGATCCTCCCGTCTCCCAAATATGGTCACTAAAAATGCTTTCGACATTTTTCTTACGTTTTTGAATGCCTAGATTGCAATTTTCTATCTCCCGTCAATATAAATTGATGTTATTTTTTCTCCGAGTAATCGTCTAGTAGCCCTCACTTTCATTTCGTTTACGGCGAACAGCAAACGAAATCTATTGTGACGTACGAGTACATCCGCCGATAATCCGTTCGGAAAAGTTATCCGACTTAAAAACAACACTTCGGCATGGGAATACGCTAGTATCATTTCCTAAGTCTAAGGTGGTTTTCGAAAATAAGTTTTATAAGCTTATGGTTGCATAAGACTCATGGGAAAAAAAGACAGTGTATGTGCACACTTGAACATATCCTCGGGGGAACAAAGTTTGATCCTGAGTGCTGACTAAAGGATTCACCTACGAAACACTCAAAAAGTCCAAGTTCATTAAAAATACGCTCAGGAATATAATGATTGTATGCTTTAATTGTAATCAATATTGGCACTTTCGTGCACCATAATCCTTTAAGTGTACACTTGTTACTTATGGTGTATTAGGCTGTACTGCCAAATAACTGACACCTGATTAAAAATATGCACAAGTTTATTGTTAAACATTACTGTGATCAGTGATCGATATTATTCTTTTATGATAATATACAAGAAGTTAAGATATAACTAACTGTAATAACTAAAATGTCTTTATTAAACTTATTACGAGGACATTGCAAACAGATGCACATTTATATTCACGAATAAGCGAATTAAATAATATTCTGTTACGTAGGAATCCATCGCATGCTCCAATCCTTCCAATATTAATTCCACTCCAATATTTTTATTTTTTGTTTTCGTTATGTACTATTACATATTTATGTCCCAATATTTAACCATACATATTGTCATGTTATAATGCCTCACGGCGTTTATTCTGTAAATAAAAAAAAATAAATAAATAGTTATGGAATAATTATTTATTAATAATTTTATAGTAAATTCCGTAAAATGGTGTAAATTAAAGTACGTGGTTAGTATTATATACTCGTTTAAGTAAAAATATGCAATATACGTATCCTTTGGGATATCCTTGCATTATTTTGTCACATTCGGCTAGATTTTTAATTTACTTGATTAGTAATTTATGTCAGAGAGCTTTTATAGTTTATACACAAATTTTAACTTAACATAAAACGTAGCATAGGTAAATAAATTAAAAGTGTATAAAGTAACTTTAATACCTTAAGGTCTATTGAGTTACATAACCTTTACAAACAGATAAAATTTATGACAATACTAAAAAAGCATAATAAGTAAACTCGGTTACTGCGACGAACTACCGGTGTAATATATTATATATAATTAAATTTGTAAGTAATTTAAAATATGCAGATGACTGATATAGCCATTGTTCTAAAGTGGTATTTGAGTCTGGATATTAATATGTGATTGAAGTATCAGTAATTTCATCGAATGATATATTAAGTTAAACGGTACATTTGATGTCGCATTTCCGTTCTTCTCTACTACGAATCATTAATATAGTACCCATGGTGAGAATAATTTTCATAGTTTTCTCTTTCGATGGTTGTATAAGTACAAATTATTAGCTTAGATCTGTTTTTTAAGGTGGCTTATTCTGATATGTTTTGAAAACAATATTAAATCACTTTATTATAACAATAATATTATAATAGGATCTCAATTCACTGTAGTGCTTATGAATCAAGTTCATAAAATAGCATTTTTTTAGTTAGTTATATTAACATGTATCGAAGTATTGATGTACACATTTATGTATACAAATTAATTTGAAATAATCAAAAATATTTTATAATTTAACATTAACTACGTTAAATTTATAATTTAAATTTAGTTGTTGTCACATAAAAAAAAAAGAAAGTTCTAATAGATCAGTGTAAATATATTTGACGTATTGCTACGTCAAATATTTTACAGATTAAAAACTTAAAGCAAAAAAAATCGTCAACACTCATATAAATTTTACCTTATCTTAAACTTTGTACAGTCGTATCTGTAGTAGATGCATGACTTATGAAATAAAATGGTTGAATCGTACTCGTCTCACTTATCGTTAATCCGTATATATCACTTGTTCATTGCTAAAAAAAATACCAGACACAAGTTTAAAATTAAAATCCAATCGGCGAGTTTAATGCCAAGAAAACATATTGACTTTTGCCGAAACACTTTATTTTTGTAAATTTTTTTTTAACTTCAACTATCCGTGTGTACCAATCCTGTCGGTTTTATTGTCTCCTAAATTAATTACCATCAATACGACTGAACGATTGAATTCAATTGCTGTCATTTAACTGTTCAAATAACTAGGGGCAATATATATTTTAGAAGCACGTGTTTGTAATATTATAGAATTGTATCAACTTACGTTTTGTTTCCAGTGTACATTTGAAACGCTATTACACACCGACACCGCGCGGTCAGAGCGGCGTGTATAATATTCGCGATATAATCTTCTTCTTCTCCTTCACCTTTCTCCCAAATATTTGGTGTCAGCCACCTTTGTACTAAACCTCCACTCGGTTTCAATTTTCTACATCATCTACCCACATCCAATAGCCCTCGTTTCATTCTCAATCGTATCCAATCATCTCGTTTTTGGTCTATCTATTCCTATTTTACCTTCAACGTTTATTTTCATAACTACTCTTACTGCTTTTGTTTCCTCTCGTCTCATCACATTCGTTATACGAACTATCATATTAATTATTCAATCTTGATAAGGGCGCTATGATTGAACACAATAACCATCGTAATGATATTGATCCTGATCGAAAAACGTCGTAGACACGATTACGACGATATAGTGTTGTATTAGGCTCGGTGGTTTTCAATAGTTGATCCGCGAACACCTTAAGGATTCGTGGGGAACAATGTTTGCGGGTTCGCGGCTTCCATGTGGATTCAAATTATCAACGAAGAGTGAGCTTATAGATCCTAAGGCGGTGAACTGAGGTAGGTGGGTCGAGAGTGATGTATGTGATATGAAAACTTCTTTGTGATATTCCTATAATTTACTCACACACATACATACATACACAATCACGTTCATATGTATATTATTTTGACGTGAATGTGTGATGCTCACGGTTCCGGAACGAAAAACACGTCTACGAAAAATCGGAAAATACTGTTCTATACGTGCAATAAACAGAGGCGACGGATAAGCTTTTGTGCGCGAAAAGCGTCGAACAATAGTTCGGTATTATACGAACCACAACCAGCCCACAACATCTCCACCCGGTTACCGATTGCATTCGCTCGCGTGAGATCGGACTCGTGTTGTTACAATATTACGAATCGGACGGATGACACACGCCGCAAAGCGTAAACATTGATTATTAATATTTCAATACATCTGCGAGGCTACCGCTATAACTTATAATATCGCGATGTGCACAGAGGGATGTTTTCCTCTTTTGTTTTCATTTATTTTTTAATACAGAAACGTAGTCGAGATGAAACAAAGCTTGTGTACATAATAGGTATTATATACGTCGTCACGGTTGTACTTTGACTGACGGTACAGTTTTAGTGATTTTTAAAGGACGGCTATAAAACGCAATATTTTATACTGGCGAGTTTACGTGGAATTGGAGTAAAAATAATAATACTAAGGTACTTTAAGACTCAAGGGTTTCAAATTTAATTTCTCCTGTATGTTTCGATATTTTTTTCAACTAAAAGCTTCACCCTGTCGCCGCCATATATTATATCTTCAAATATCTTCAAAACGTATACGTAGCGCATAATGTTTAATGGTTTTTGAAATGCTCGAGTGCAATCTGTTCAAATGTTTTGTGCTTTCGACATTGCATTACTTAGAAATCAATGATCAAAATAATCGTATTCAACTACAGTAAAAGAAGTGACATAAAAATGCCGTAACAAGTTAATATAACAGTGTGCATATAATTATACGTATAATGTTTATGATACATAACCAATAATTATACAGATAGATTAGATTTCGTAGAACTATTTTCTTCATGCGATTCGGTCGTTTAGTTTGTATGAAAAGAAACCATATTATTTCCCAGCATTATACGAATGAAATACATGATCCTTGTAGTTTCGGCGAAACATATAATAAACATTGAAATCTCGAACACGGGGAAAAAAAGAAAAGGTCGCAAACGCATTGATGCATATCGGAATTTACTTTTTCTATACTGTACATAATGCTAAACAGGGAAACTCGAAACTTATCTACGAGAACGCATAGTGCGAACAGTATAGTATTTTATATATAATATATATATATGTATACTACATCGAATTACGATTTAAAAAACTGATAACCGACGAAAATATTTGGTTTTAGATAGTGTTCGGATTTATGTAATCGTTACGTATTCTAATAAATGCTGATACATTATTCAATTTTTTTAGCAAAACTACTTGGATATCGCTACAATGGACAAGAGGACGCCCATGGGCGCAATGCAAGGCGAATCATCGCCAAGAAGTGGACCAACTTTGTCAATCGTCAACTCTCTAGACGTCCTCCGACAAAAGTTAATGTATGAAGTGGCCCGACGACACGTGAACGAGAATCAAAAAGTGCTGTCGCAAAACCACCAGATATTGAAGAGCCTCGGAAAGCGGTCCTTGTATTCTTACTTTGGAATACCACGAAGGTATGTAAAAACGTACGATCGGTAAAAGTTATCCACTCGCCTCCCGTAGATTGTAAATGTTCGCTTTAAACCGGCAACGACAGACTTGTTGTTCACGTATGTACGATGAAATATTTTCGTGATAATATACTCACAATATTTGTTTGATCATTATCGTATTTTATTCCATAGCCCTGAGTACAATTTTTCTTCCTTTCTGCAGTTAGTGTACTGTACTTTGGCACGCACGTATGAAGTATAGGATTCAGACCGTGAAGCGTGCAACAAATAAAGGGGTCACGCGTATGAGAGATACCTTATGATGAAAATTAGGATTTTACGAGGAAAAACTCGTTCAGTATCATATTACGCGCGGTGTACCCTTGTACTTAAACATAACCGAATGAGCCAGGGACATTTTTCGATGTTTACAACGGTACCGATTTAAAATTTTTAAATATCTTAAAGTTCATTGTCCTCGCGGTGTCAACACGTGTTCAATCACGGGTCGTATTTTTAAAAGCGAATACGTTAAAATAAAAAAATCACCTGAATTAATGTGAATTTACATATTATGTTTTTTGGTTCGGGAACAAAACGCGTTCAAAGCCCAAGTCTTTACGGTTCAATATTTTTAAACAGCCAGGTATACTCTTGTATAATAACATAACATAATTTCGAAAAACAAACGCCCTATAATTTTACATTGCGTAGTAGACGTTTATTATTCTCTATCATGTATATTACGAGATCTTCCTAGAACAGACAATTATAACTAGAATTTGGCTTTCAGGCTAATGTATCATTAAATGTTTGCTTTTATTTTACAGGTTTTAAATGGAAACCATTTCGATTTCGTCGGTTTAACAGCGTTATTATTTATGAATATTTTATTTATTATGCAAAATTATTAATTTATTTGTTAAATTTACATAATATCGTAGACAGCCAAACCATTGTTATTTTTCATTCACATATATTTATTTATGTATTTCCAGTATATATATATATATATATAAAAAAAAATATATAATAATTAATATCTAAATAAATATACACTGATTTAAATACAATTCCACGCAGAGAAATGATTCTTCACTTTAAAAACTAGTTTCGAAAGAAAAAAAAAACAACAACTCACAGTATTCTACGTTTGATTTAATTTATTTTGTATTTTTAATTATTTACAAACTAACTAGAGGATCGCAAAGTGATTTAATACCTGTTATTTTTTAATAAAAAATATATTATAATATTACAGGATTCGTGGAATTTTTATTATCGCATTAATTATATTAACACAATATGTAATCTATTTATATATATTAACCGTTGTTCAGCTATACACATATAAGATATATAAATAAATATCGGCGTTTTAAATATTATATATGTATGTATATATTGTTTTATATAGAAAAGTACAATAAATACGGTCAACTTCGTCGTACGGAGGAACTTTCGCAACGAACTTGGTCGATGAACTTTAGGTTGCCACTATATGTGTGCTCGTCGATAAAATAATAAACAGTTAATGTTAATTCACGGCGTTTTTGACGCCTGTCCATTGTACCGAAGCTCCTTCCCACCTGAAGAACAAAACAAACAGTGTTGATAATACAATCGTAAAGCGGTTATATTTAAATAATACATTATTAAATATAAATATCAACCAAACGCTGCGGCTGCAATTAACGAAATCCGTATCGTAGAAAATAGTTTAAAAAAATAAATAATAAAAATCAGGTGCCCTCCGGACGAAAATACTTATATAATAATGTTATCGTTATAATAATAGTCGGTTACTTGGTGTGTATAAGACATTCGACCATCAACAATTGAGACGTGGTTGAACTGTTAATGTCGTCTGTGACTTTCATCCGTGCATTCTGATCGTTGGGATGCGACCGCGTGTCCACCGTCGCGTAGTTTTCGCTACCGCTACACGAATAGTAAGTCAACGGGAACCTGCAGGGGAAACGATAACAATACGTAATTGGTATCGATACGAAAATGTATGTGTGTTCAGAGTTCGATTTCGACGTGGTAGGGGATGGAATGCGATCGTCGGATAGGATTCACAAGATGAATAAATACAAAAATGTTTGGATGAATATTTATAATACCGTACGGATACGCGCATCAATACTGAAATAATACAGGTTATTCATACTCTGTTACGTGTAACGCATAATATGTACAGGGTGCGTTTTTCTCCATCAACGTGAGTTTTTGTAGGGGACGAAAATAACATCCGTACTTGTCCGACGTGTAGCGCTAATGCTGCCATGTAAAATGTCGGTGCACCATTTTGCTCAACTCGACATTTAATTTCTTACATGTAAGTATAACTATCACCAGACTGGTTTGAAATTTTACTTTCGTAAACATCAAAATTCGCAGAAAAATATTATTTTACCACCACTGATAACCGTTAAAAGTTTTGACTAAATAAATTACTCGATGAAATATTGCAACTGTAAACAGTAGTAAGATATTATAGTGTAGTATAAACGGTATAATGACTGCAAATTGTATAGAAATACAATTTTTTGTCAAAATACATTGACTGAGAATATAAATATATTAGACGGTAAAAATATCACTCTGTATAATATATGCACACGGGCAAAGTTTATTTATTATTAAAGTTAATTTATTTTTATTTTTTCTAATTAAATATTATAATACGGCATAAGACTATTGCATTTTATATTAAATATCATATTGATAGAGACAACAAAATGTTTGTAACGCGCCGTGTTGTGCGTACCTTGGAAGCAGAAGTTATAATACATTTCGATCTCGATTAAATCGTTTTCCGAAAGTGTCTTATAAAGTCAAAATTTGTCCTGTGAAATTATTACAACTTCTCCGATGTCATATAATGTCTGATTTCCCAAAAGCCCGGTGATGTATTCGACCGAAACACAATCATCGCAGCTAACAGAAATAAAATTAGTGTATTCATATAACAGTCGATCAAATCGTTCAACAATATGAAAATAGTTTCCGATGGGTTATAATTATTTTTCAATTCGACCGGAAAAATGTTTTGGAACGAAAATTATTATAGAACAATTATTCCAATGAATACGATCTAACGTAAGTATTTTAATATGGAATCTAAATATTCGTCTTCTCATCGTGTACAAATCGCTAACGTACACATCTAGATTGAACATCGGTAATACATTTCAATACGCTTATTCCCCCGCTGTTTGTTATTTTCGCGTTTAATTAAATCATCTAAGACAGTGGTTCTCAACCTCTTTTTGTTCACGGCACACCATTTACATCACAAGCTTTCGCGGCACACTCACGCACTCGACAACAACAAAAACTTTGGCTACGCGCTAAGATATCCAGTTGGGTTAAAAGCGTACAAGCTTAACTACATATGTATCGTAGGTATTATCTGCATTAATTAATTGGCATTTAACTGTCATAGTTTTATCAATCGGTATTTTCAAATATCAAGCGTTTTTCACGGCACATCTAGTCGAACTCGCGGCACGCCGGTTGAGAACCACTGATCTAAGATCTTCAAGATGCATAATAAATCGTGCGGTAAATCACGTTTACAATACATCATATTATTTCTTTATTGGATACGTGCACGGTTTCCGTAATACGTTCAACAGATCAAATGAAATGTCGTCATGAATTCGAACACGCCGACCGACCGGAACGGTGCACGATTCCGCGTGTGCTCGGCTCGTTGTCAGTGCAACGTCGTTGTGTTATTGCTGTTGGCGAACGTCGATAATAATCCGTGCGCAGATTATTGCACGGGCCGTGCGTCGGGCGCTGTCGAATCGCAAACGGAATAACACCGCGGAAATCGCGCGAGCATTTCCATCGGAATTCGGATTATTCGACCCCGTAGGCGTGCGCAGGATTCTGTGCCGGGTGCACCGTACATTTTTGACCTGGCCACGAGCGGCCCACTGATTACCCTCGTCGCGACCGTAAGAAATACGATGAGTATAAAAAACAATCGTGCATAAGTATGCAATACATAATACATAAACATATATTGCATTGCTATTATGATAACACTGAACGAAGAATCGGAGGAGTCACGTAAGGGGAAAACGAACAGTCTTACGGCATACGATACGGCACTGCCCTGGTAAGTGGCCGAGCGGTGGTGGTGTGCATGCGTGTGCATGTAATGTCCCTGCGTCTATACGTCTGGTTCGTACGTCGGGTATAAAAACATTGTACTCGTAAGCTTCTCGTACTGATGGACGGTACTACCGTTCTCATATTCGAATGACGTTGAATATTTGTACCGGTTCCAAGGCCGTTCGTTCTACGCGTGCCTTTCGGACGAGTATACGAGTGGCACAGCTACCATAGGGCAAAACGGGGCAGTGCCTTGGGGCCCCAAAGCAAAATCCTTGGATAGTTCTGAGACTATACTATGCTACGAGTAGACTTTATAAATTTAATTCCTAAATTAAACGTGGTAGTTTTGATAATTTGTTGATTTATTTATTAGCGAACATCAGGGAAAAAGAGCGTACATTATGTTATAAAGAACAAGATTGAAAATAATAACAGCAAATTTGGAATACTGAAATTATTAATTATGGAATATTTAGAACAGTGATTATTAAAATTTAATAATTACTCTTCTAAACATTTAATATTGAAATCAAATAGTACGTGGCAATTATTTATTCAAAATCAATTCTAGTTACGATCGTGTATTTAAGTAGAATTCACGCAATATACAATATGTTTTTTATGATATTGAACTGGATATCCTTTTTACTTTGTATACATATTAATTATTCGTTAAATGTTTTCGTTTATCGTTTCATAGTAAGTATTCAAATTTCAAAGAACAATATGACGTGTATATTTTGAATTTTCATATTAAGATAATTTAAGAGAGGGGCTCAATTATTTTTATTGCACCGGAGCCCTTTCCTGTCTAGCTACGTCACTGCGAGTGTACTACACTTGACCGGGCCGCCTTATCCAAAAGACAAACCGTCGGGCGCAACGAAACTTGACTACGATCAAAGATCACCCGAAATGTGCATGTCGCGTACCTCCGTTCGGCCAAATGGTTCCTGAGCAGCTCGCGGTTTGTGTTGAATAGTACGCCGTAATGACCTTTGGTGCAAGTGATCCATATCGGATACGAAGGCGTCTTCAACCGGGAACCCGGTATCTGGGTGATCTGCACAGGTACGGACGCCTCTTCGTAGTGCACAAGTAGGCCCACCTCACTCCTGGCCAGTATCCCGTAATGCGGTATGGCCTGCAAGAGATGAGTGTCGAAAATTGACCAAATATTAACCGATAGGAACGCAACACTTACGTAATGATGTTCGTCCCCGATGTTCACGATCCCGTTGTGCAGATTGGGCGTGGCTCTGCCGGTCAACATCAGCGTCACGATGCATATGGACCCCTCTTCAGCACTCGATATCAGGTACACCTTCTCGTCCATCAGGTCCGACATGATCCTGTAACACGATTTGTCGTTCGTCGCGTAACGGTCGACCTGCGCACGAACGCGACGGGCGAGCAATTCCAAGGATAATGTTTGAGGTAAAAACGTCCGTTCGTACGTTTCATACCGAACGGAACACGTCCGTCCCGTCATCCCCCGATAAACAAACCTTGTTTCACCCCACCGCAGACCGTTACGTCATCGAGTAACACGGTTCCTAGTACAACTGAGTATTTTTTAACACGTACACTTATTCGTCTCGGACACGACGATCTCGATTGTATTTAAATCCGTATACGTGTGCAAGAAGTGACGAGAAAACTAGTGATCGACCGAGACTGTTAAAACCAGCGAGAGCCGTCTTGACAGTGTTACACAATGCAGTCGTGTGACCGGGATGCGATCAATTATTTCAAGTGTTCGGTACGGAATTGAAATGGTAGCGTTAGTAGTTTAATTAATGCGATACACATATACATTGATACGTTACAGTTATATTTCATTAGTTAATTATGTGTAAGATCAGACGATTACAGATTAATATACAATATGTGAGTTAAAAAATTACAGATTTACGCATCTCACCGTTATAGTATTGTGGTACAAAACTCAGAACAATGTACAATCGTCACATGTTTAATGAATAATAATTTTATCTCTTCATGACAATGAATTTAATGAATGGAGTACGTATTGATGATGTTTTCATATGTATTTGAATTGTCTTTCGTAAAAGTAACACATTTTAAAGAATTCCAGTAATAAAAAATATTTTTTAAAGAAAACGATGATCATGAACAAAAATAGTATTCAACTTAAAAAAAAAACAGCTCATTTTAATTGGTTCATTGTTAACGGTTTTAACACCACAGTGTGATCAAATATATTTATTTATTTTTATTTTTCGTTAATAAATAAAGCAATAATGTCAATCTAATAATTTACTTATATATTCAAAATAAACTACATTTTTGAGGTGAATTATGAAAATCAGTATTGTGTTTACATAACAAATAAGGTGGGCCGTACTACTATAAACTGGAGTTCAATATATATATATATCAATTCTGACACTGTAAAATAAATAAGATTGACGAAGGTATAGTTTTGCCAAGCTAAAAACATCTAGATTTTATTTTTATTGAATCACCAAAGCTCGTTTTTAAATGTAAGTCGAGAGTCAAAGATTTTTTTTTCTTATAATCTTTATTAAATAGATTAATTTTGCAGAAAATATATTTATATTACAGTATTATACGAGGATAGTAAAATATATAACAAATTTTATTTATATATTTACGTACACCAAAAGATAAAAATTAAAATAAGTACTTCTTCAGCCCAAGGGTTCTTTGGCAACAATTTTCCTCGCCCCACGCTTCTCCGTATTTATTTTTATAGTTTATTCTTTGAGTGAATACTATTATTTATTATTCATATTGAATTTTATTTAAATTTAACAACAATCCTTTATTATATTTTACTTTTTAAAAAGATAAAAAAATATTTCCCATTTGATGTGTTGTATTATATGTAACTTCCGTACAATATTTTGTTATGCTCGTTTTAGTAATATTGGAATATATTTCGTAAAATAAGAAAAGTTTTCACGATCAATTAAATATGTGTATGAAATAATTGTAGTTCACGAATATAATATTTCTTGTTCGCTAATGGAACATTATTAAGTATGAAAAAATATTAACTATTAAGTTTTAAACAATTGCGTTTCCAAAAACTTATTCGAAAGAGTAGTAATTTAAAAATCTAAAAAAACAACAAGAAAAAAAATTGAAGAAATACAAATTTACGCAAATCAATCTAGACTAATTCATTTTTCTTTTTATAAAATCTTATACCAATGGATATTTTAAAGGTACACGTATAATTTTGAACATTTTATTATTTATTATTACGTCATGGCTAGGATACAGGACTTTTGACGGATTAAAGCTATCGAAAAGAACTTCAAACCTGGTAAGGTCAAAGCCCTCTTACAACCACGCCTAATTTTTTTTACCATTAACAATGCAAATAGTGACATATGATAATATCGATTAAGAATAATTACATATAAAAACTACTATTATTATAATATATCTTTTAAAATACAACAATATACTATGGAGATAAATCAAAATTGAAAAAAACATTATGAAATATGTATACGTTTGTATTTTTATCCACAAAAGTGTTGATTTATTTTAAATTTGAACACACGCTATCGATAATAATTGTTAATATTATCAAGTAAATAAAAATGCGGTAAAAATATCGTTTAAAGCTATTTAAAGGATGACGAATAAAAAAAAAAAAAATTGACTTATTTAACAACCCTTTTCGCTACCGTGGAAATAATACATGATTTAATATTAGACATTAAACTTTATAAAGATGCATCTCAAACAACCAACGCCGTTAAGTGAATTATAATTAAGCAATATAGCAATAGCTGTTGGCGTTTAACGTAATCGTAATAAATTATTCAGACAGTAGAAGTGTAAAAAATAAAAATCTAAGAATAAAAACGAATTAATTAATCATCGTTTAATTTTTATTTATTTATAAAACACTAAAAATTGATAAGTTAATAATTTTAAAAAGTATAAATTATTAATTTTCGTATAGTATACATTATTAATGGATTTATATCTCAATACGGACTGTTTCAATGCTCTATTGTTTGTTAATTTATTCAATTGCAATTTTTATTTTAAAAATATCCTATCTAATATAAATATTTCTGTTATTTAACAAATCCATAGAAACTCCTACAATACGACCTGAATCAAATTTTTTAAAGAATTTTTTCCTAAAATTTTTTCTCAATAATTATAAAGTTATTTGAAATTAAACTGTCCTATTTCCTTTCCTCCATATCTATTGGAAATCCATATTAAATACGAAACACCTATATGTGGTACGCCAAAGTACAGTTGCAGGCAAGGGCGCCCATAGGAAAATTCTCAAGGGGGGGACAACATTTTAATTTATCAATCTATTCATAAATAGGAATGACCTACAATATAGGAAGGGGTTTACAATTTTACATTATACTACTCGTATTATATTATATATATCAAACTGGAATACTATAAAATAATTATTATTTAACCAGTTTACCATAAAAGTATTTTATAAAAATTTTTATTTAATTAATAATATAAAATGAACACTTAAAACATTAGTTATGGGTATTTATTAAAATATTATTTACAAATATTATAGAAATATTATGGTTGTGTACACACACACATATACATACCGTATTTCTGGAAATACACAATATTTTAGGAATTGATAATTATTTATAGAATAGAAACGAAAAAGCGTATTGTTATTTATAGCTGATAACCTGATTTTCCAAACTAAATAGATTTTTCATAAACAAATTACAGATTTTCATTTATTAAATTAAATTTTTAATTCTATTTAAATAAATATTTTCTGATCATAGTTAACAATTTTCCAAGATTTTTGACATTTTCCAGGGGAAACATGTCCCTCCCTTACCACACCCATGTGGGTGCCCTTGGTTGTAGGTTCTTCTCAAGTAAAATTTCATTATTAATAATCAAATTTTCTTCGTGGTCTTTCGAAAGATATATTTACATGAAAGTATTTTTTGTGATAAAAACTATCAAAAAAAACATATAATTACTTGGACAGTCCTCTTGTTAACACTGAACTGTACAGCAACAGTAGTGATCCGGGTCCGGGATCATCTTGAAACTGCAATATATAATCAAAGATATACAGATATAATTAATTTTTTATTTTTAAAATTTCAGAAAGCCTATATAATCTAAATATATACAGGTTTGTTATAAAATTATTACAAAATTACAATAACATACCAAATGCAAATATCTCTTGAGAAAAATTTCCAAATCTTCTATGTTGGTCATCTCGAATAAGTGGAGCTGTAATTTTATTATAACATGGTCTTAATAATACAATAAAGCAATTTTTTATAAAATATTAACTATACTAAGCTTCAATACAAAAAATTTTTTATTTTTACACAAAATATGACAAATTAATTTTATTGTAATTAAATTCTAAAATATAATCAAAATGTTTTAAATATTTTTATTGCACTAATTTTAAATAAAACAATACATATTTTAATAATAATAAAATGTACAATATTACTAAAAAACACATTTTGCTTTAATACGGGGTCTTTATAACACTATAAAAATTTTATGAGACCAATTTTATCACAAAATAGGGAAATATATATTTAACGTTTAATTATTTTATCAAGTTCTCTAAATAAACCTAAATTTATTAATGTAAATTAATTTTTCAATATAACTATTTGCAACTTTATTTACGGGGATTTGTTGCATTAAGTCTTGAGATTAAAATCTGTCAACTTTATTAGAAATTAAATTTTAAGTTCATAATAATATACTATTTAACCCCCTTACTTTTTCTGTTACATTATCCTGAAAGTAGTTTAATGAGTGCGGCACATAACTCTTCTCTTGCGGTAAACATACTATAACTTTTTCGTTTTCACCAACCTTCCACAAGATTTCGGTTAGTGATTTACAAAGAGCATCTAATTGCTGTTGCTTCGATGGTTTCATACATCTAATGAAATAACAAATATCAATTTAATCGATACATTCATAATAATTTAAATTTAATATTACTAATTTTTTTTTGAATTTAAACCCGTAATTTCTTATTTGGTGTTTTATTTATACTATTAATAATGATCTTTAAACACCTCCGATTTATCTAATGTAATAACCATTAAAATCGATTCCAAAAACTATCACTTATTACACACCCAAAAAATGTATTACATCTAAAGTAATTAAGCACCTTTGTATTATATAATATTTTAGATTAGATTTAATAAAGGAGCATTCAAGTATTACATCAGCAGACCAAGGAAAAAGAATTCGACTGATCTAACAGTACCTTATATGGGAGGAAGGAGGGTAAAAAATGGTAAACGATGTCCTAAAATTATACTGGAATGCTCCCTAATAGGTAAATAAAATAAAACATTTTAACTTTTATATATTTCTTTAAATTATTTGCTTCTTCTATAGACATTGTAAATGCATCCGGTTGTACGAAATAAATGATGATATTTCATTAATTTTATTTAATGACCAGTTTATGTTATTTGTGTTGAAACCTCTGTGTTCACAAGTTCAATCTGTTGAACAAACTAACCGAATATAAATCGTATATTTCCTTTGTTAAAGGAAAATAAAACGAATGATTCTTAATTTTTTGTCATTTCTTAGGATTGTAATATAAAAAATTATGGTATTTATTTAATTTTATTGAATTTAATTAAAAGAAAATATTATTCGTCAAACCACTTGATAGCTTCAAGCAACAGTAGATAAATAATCCCATGTAAATTAAAAATAACTATAATAACTAAAAATAATTGTCTTACATTTATAATTGTACGATATGTTTGTCTAGTTTAAAAAATAAAACCGTTATATGTATACTGCTGTTTTAAAAACCATTTTCTGTAAACAAAAATACTAAAGAAACATTGGTTTGTAAATAAAATTGACTTTTGAATTCAACATAATAATGGAACCCGTCAAAATAAATCCATTCATCACGGTAATCACAACTATTACACTTAAAATAAGTTAAATGCATTTTTAACGTTTTCAAACAAATTACGCATTATTGACGCTGGTGAATAACAAATGTTTGAGTATATATCCTTGTATTGCCGACAGCATACCCCGGGTACCATTTCTGCGAGCACGTAAGCCATACGAAAGCTCTTTCTCGGGATCTCTGAACACAAAACCCGTACGCAGCCATTCACCTCTAGGTGGTGTGTCACATGCACCAAATACAGTCAACCTTAATGCCTTGAAAATAAATAAATAAAATCAATTGTTTATTTTATACTTATATAAATATATAATTTTTAGTTGTTTAAGTATAAAAAAAACTATGCAGTGATCATCGAAAAACAAGTAAGTTAAATAATTACTTCCATACATTTTAGTGATATATTTCATTAGTTGTTTACAAAAATAACAATGAATATAATAACTGTCTTAATTTTTTTTGTGCATATACATTTTAAGAAATAAAATTCTGCTGTTTGTGATACGGGAAAAAAATGTGCTTTGTTAAACTTAATGTATTACGATATGAGCAAATAGAATGATTAAATACTTTTAAACTAAAATGAAACAAAATATAACCTCATCAGAACTATACTGTAGATTAACGTTTCCAGTTTGCTTTGTGAATAAAAATTATTTGCAATTAAAATCTCTAAAAATGGTTTCTTAAGTATCTTTCGTATAATGTACCAATTAATAATCTGTGCGACGTGTTTTGAAATAAATACTTTAACAAATGTAAAATTATAAGCACACTTTTACTTTTAATCAACATTATCGTGTTAAACATTAATACTCGTATTATTGTAAATAAAAATGGGTAGATAAACACAATAAATGATTTATATCTCAATAAATCATCCCCAGTACAAATCATAATACAGCACATAATTTGGCATTAATATTTTTACATTTTAACATTTTACATAAAATCAAAATTAAGATCCACACGTTATGAAACCTGAATGTAGTCACTTCAATAAACAATTAAAGTATTTAATTAAAACATTTTAACAAATAGTAAAGATCATTAAATACAATTATAGCAGTATTTTTTTAGAGTAATGGATAGCTAAAACTCACAGCTCAATTGAATCGGTCATTTCGAAAAGGCCATATCTCAATAAATTAAAAATTATCAGGAAACGTAAAAATTGTTTTTACAGATCATAATTAAATGTAGATAAATTATTTATTGTATACAACTTGTAGATTTTACATATATGTACGTTTATTCTAATTATACTGTAAGTAAATTAGCAATTTGGTGAAATACCATAAAATACAATCGATGGGAGGTGTTCTAACACCTTATATCAACTCCCCCCCCTAAATACGCTCCTGGTAATAGCTATCAAATAAATTGTTAACTTTAGGATATATTTTTGTACATTTTTAAAGAAAATGTTTCGTTTTAATCATTTAATTATGATACACCAAAATGTATGTCATTCAAAATAATTTATGAAAGTTTATATAATAAAATTAAAAGTAAAAAGTTGTTTATATCTCGTTCATTTCCAGAAATTTTGTCATCATTATCATATCAAATCAAAATAAATTACAGTTATCTAGATAAGTCACTCCTTGACACTGAGGGGGGCATGTTGCGTTGGGTTTTAAATGTAGTTAGTCTAATGAATGATTTTAATAATAATATTACATTTACATGTGTTGGATAAAATATTTTTTATTGTAATTTTAAGATGGGAATGCAACGTTCGACTGGACTTTGGACAGAAAAAAATGGAGAGGTTTAATAGTGGCAGCGCGGATCCTTAATGGAGCTTTAAGCTGTTGATGATAATGATGACTTTTAATCGTACCTTATTCACTATTTCCTAGTATTCTAAGAGTTAAATACATTATTTATAATCTAGAATATATTTGCTCTTCCTCTACGAAGCAGTTGCTTCATGAGGAATAGTAAACTCCTACACATTTAAGTAATTTTCTATATAAATATATTGTTAATTCCTACAAAATAATATAATAATATATTATAGTAAAATATATTAAAAATAAATTATATATATATATATATATACATAATATACTAATAATATAATAATAAAAAATAATATTTATTACAAAAAATTCAAATTTATTTTCAAAAATATAAATCGTATAATTATATACAGCATTAAATACTAAAGCACTAAATTACTTAGGTAAATAGATAAAATCACAGAAGAACCACTTTATTAGTTCATCCTCTCTCTTAAATATATTTAGATACCTATAATAATTATAATATAATAATTTGCTTACATACTAATAGAAGAAATTAAAAATGTTTATGCTAGCTTATTTTATATTGTGATATTAATATGACCTGCATTTATATTATTTAGTACTACAGTATGTATAATCAAATTATCTGCGTAGATTTTTAAAGTTATTGAATAGAATCAAAGAGCAATTTTTGAAACCTGATCTCATGTATTATTAATATAAAATTTATAGAGCTTAATAGTTTTTACTTTTCCATAATACGTTCAATTTGTTTTTAAATATACATAAACTTTATTTATAGAACTAATAAATTACTTTTATTCCGTTGGATACAAATAATAATGTTAAATGCAAAATTTGTGTTTTTTATTATTTAATTTTAACATTTAATGTTGACACTTTTTTTCGTTAAAAATTGTAATTAAAAACTACATAAGAATAAGAAAGAATTTTTAATTTTTGGATAAACTTACTTTTGCTTGTTCCACAGTAATTGGTTGGCCACCCGTCACTGGTTCCTTATTGTATTTATATTGTTGATTTCTTGCATACATAACACGATCTATAAATAAACATTTTTATGATATTACAGACATAGAAAACATACTGTATTACAATTTTAACGTGATACAACATGTATAATGTTATTATTTTTTCTTTTTGTAAAGTAAAAGTAAGTTAAAATTTCAATAATTTAAATTTTTACATATTGTAAACAAACATAGACCAAAATTTACATAAATGTGTAAACTTGTTATTAATTTAATTTACATACAAATTTCGTATAATATATTGAATTTGTAAAATGTCATTCGAAAATGTTATTATGTGTGCGAAGTTAGCCTCCCCCCCCAAGTTATCATATTTATACAAATCGTGCACTAAAAAATTATATATATAATATATACTAATATATATTATTAGAATAATTTATGCTCTTAGAATAGAAGAATACTTTTCCAGACTTATGAATTACGGAATAGCAAACAATTTGGTGGTTTTTTAAATGCATACGTTACAAATGAAACTTAAATAATTATATCAAGGTTTATTAATTTATTCACGTTATTCATTTATCGGTTATAAAAAATTATACATTTTAAAATCAATAGATTTCTCGTTATACTTATAACATAAAATTTATTTTCAAATACTATTAAACTTTTTCTTTATCTTACATGTAGTTTGTTCAATAGTGATTTAATTTAATCCCACTTTCAAACACTAAGTGTGATGTAGAAAGTTTATGGATTAGTAATTTATTAAACAAATTTAGATTTAACCATTAAATATACTAGATTGTCACAAGCTAAATCTTCGATCAAGTTTATTTTATCATCGGTTTGACTTCATAAGTAACATATACACATGGCAAAACTAAACAATTGAGTTTCCGACATTTGGTATAACAGAAGTTTGCAAATTAAAATCAACACGATGTTTGACATACAATTAAATACACGAAACTTGATTGAATATATATCATATTTTCAATAATAAATATTTTTTCATTAATTTTTACTTTTTGAAAGTATGCGTATCGGACCCGCACTAGATCTATTTATTTGTTAATATTCAATATTAATTAAATATTATACAACGTTATTAGTATTTATAATATTCATGTTTAGTATAATTTCAAATAAATTCATAAGTTTAAAAAAAAACGTGGCTCAAATGTAATCACGTTTAGAAAGCGTCTTTGATTTAATGCGCAAAATATACTGAAAAAAGTATGTTTACAAAATCTGTTTTTTATTTTTATATTTTTAAAATCTTATTAATATGATATATACATTTTTATTTTTTAAACTGATACATCACATATTTTAATAACCAATAGATAAAAAACAATTAATTATTCTTAATAATTCTTATATATAATTTATTGCCTATAAAATTTAAAATATCAGGACAATAATACTATCTATTTTATAAACATAAAAATAAAATGTCAAACGATAAAATTATTTATCCAGTATTTATTTTTATACAAATAGTTTAACAATATTATTCATCTTTCAGAATTAATTGTATATAAAATAAATTATCAATAACTTATATTATAAAATATTATATTTAAAGATTATTTAGGTATTTGCTTGTATGACGGATTCTAATCGCAGAATACTTTTTCTAATGCACCTTTCATTTTCAAAATATTTACTTAATGTTAACTGCACAATGTTGCATTATTTTGTTTTTTAACAATCAAAATATTCAATGTATTGTAATTATTATTTTATTTGCTTCTAGGCTCAAATAATCAAATCAAATTTGAGTCAAAATATAGATTATTATATAGGAAATAAAATAATATTCAGATACAAAAATATAAATTTAGTATTTTAATTAAAACAAGAATCTAATATTTTAAAAATGTTGTACAACAGATAACAATTGAGTGAGTATTTAGTGCTAATATTTTCTTAAGGAAGTCTTAAAAATAGTTTTGGAAGTCAAAACCACTCAAAGTCCACAACCTCTAACTCGTGCTGCATGTTTAATTTAAAAATTACGACATATTGGATTATAATTAACATGATCCTACGCATTGTAGATTATAACTAGCAAATAAACATTCAGATTAATTTCAAAAACTAAATAAGCATTCCACATCATTTTTTTTTTTTTTATTTAAAAAAGAAAAAATACTCATAGTATAGAATTAATAAACGAGCAGTTGGTCTATATAATTGACTTCGCTTACCGACATCGTCGTTTAACAAATTTTCGTTTTCAGTCATGGTTGCCACCGCGTCTATTGCTTAACTAAAACGCTGTTTGATTGTTTTATTTGTTGAAAAAGTGCAATTTTCGAAATTCGAAATACATAAAAACGATTATCTGTCGTCAAGAAAAAATAAATAAAAAAGCGGTTTTATCGGAAGTGCGTGTTCGAGGTGTAAAAGTTTTATTTTCGAAAAACAATATTCCGTCACGAGACTCGTTAAAAAATAATACACGCAGTACATATAGTTTTTCTCGATGAAAAGCGGGTGAGATCTTTTCTTTTTTTTTTGCGTGCGATATCAGTAAAAACTTTTGGTACACGAAACCAATTATTAAAGTTTGTATAAAATTAAATGTATTCATTGTTTATATTTTTTATTATAATGTAATTACGTTGTAAAGCAAACAAATGAATTAATTATCCATTTACCTATATTGGAATACTTCTAATAACCTTGAAAATAATGTAATGTAATTTTAATGAAATTACTTAGTTAAGAACGGATTTTGAAGTTTTACTACTTTATAGAATTTTAGTTAGATTTAAACCCCTGTATTTACATAAACAATATCTTCTTAATCTTAATATAAAATAATAGACAAATTATAAAATCATTAAACAATTTTACTATTCATTTTTATTTTTTCAATTCAAATTTGTTTGTCATTTTCAACAACCTTATAAAATGTTTTACAGTTAAGTATTATATACATATGTGTTTTAATTTATGATATAAATACGTTTCAATACTCTTTTATATAATAAGTCACTTGTTCATAAAAAATATTATCCGGGTAAGCGACTATTTTATAGACAAAGCCCAATATAATGATTGCAATTATAAATACAACTTATGTCCATGCGGTTCCAAACCGATTAACAAATGTGGTACAATAATTTTATAATGGGACCAATAAAAATGTATAAAACGAAGGAAATAAAATCATTCCACCTTTATTATATTACTGTACGTGAATGTAAACAGACTACTTTTGCTAATATAACATTTCCGCATCAATTTCATCTAGAATTTAATAAATTAATATGGCAGTAGGTTACATCTCTCCAAATGTAATCTTTCTCCTGAATTCTCTATCTCCATCCGTTATCACACTCATCATTAGTTTCATTTCCAATGCTGGTTTCCGCATTTAAAATATTGTTTTTATTTAATTATTTATTTGTTATTATTTATTTATTATTTTACTTTTTTTATCTTAAATAATTATTAATTGCAATGCTATAATATAATCTTTAAAGATTAAAGAAATAAAAAAATAAAAAAAATGAATATGTAAATAAATATATTCATTTATCAACCAAAATTAACTAACAACTGCCTAATATTTAACTGCACTATGGCCTACACTTACTGATCAATACATGTATAATATTTTTTATGTAATGAACGTTATTGAAAAATAATTTTTATTTATTTTATATTGTACCCTGTTAATTTATATAGGATATTTAAAAATAATTTCATTTTTATTTGTTATTTATTTGTGTAAAAGATTATCAACTTTTTTCAACAATCTATATATTATATTATATTTATATCAAATGGTTGTCATATAAGGAAATACATAAAAGTAAATTATTTGCTCAGTACTAGGGATGCTATAGACTTTAAATGCATTATTTTTTGCTTTGAAGATAACCATAGTCTTAAAGAATTATACTAACTGATATAACATTTGCTTTTTTTTCAGATATCTCACCGTATTTGTACATAATATTGATGAAATTAGATCACTATCAAAAGCAATGTATTTTTATTGAGTATACACATATTTTGTTAAATCTATATTATATTATAAATACTACGTTATATGTTATACTATAATTCACATTTCAAAGAAAATTATCACAGCTATTAATCCTTAATAAGCTATGTCAATAAAATTCGGAAGTGTTGCATAGTGAAAACAAATAAATATCAATACAATGCGACTTAAGCAATAAGTATTCAATAATAATAAATGCAATTTTTCAAATTTTGATTTATTTTAAGCTTAACACAATAAATTGTTTAATTATTAAATTGGACACGTCCTGTATATTGTTATAAAATAAACATTTAATCTCTTTAATCTATACTCGGCATATCAACTCACTAATCCAAATAATGTAGTAGCCAAATACCCTGATTATGATTATTTTACTATTTTATTTATTCATTTTTTTTCTTTTATGTATAGATTATATCATTTTCTTTTTTAAATAAAAAAAAAAAAAACATAACATTTTGGTAATTCAATAACCTAAACTAACGAGCCGTGACCCAAAGTACAGTGGTATAAGTGGTATAAGATAATATATTATAACTGTAAAAAGTAATTAGATAATATTATTAAAACTAGGTGGCTGAATACTCATTAGCAATGCGTATCATTCTGAACATAGGTTTATTACGGATATAATTGGTGGTGCAAAGTGGTATGGAAAAAGGATAGTGTGACCATGAATGGAAACTGGGGATTTTTAAGTTAAGTTGACTTAGAAATTCATGACAGTCAATAGAGCCATCTATGAGTTTTTGTAAGAATATATATTATATAATCAATTTTTTTCAATTTTTACTAGCACCATGCATTAATTTTATTAATTTTCTTCATAAAACTTTTGTTTCAATTAAGAACGTTTTAGCTATATTATTGTTCAAGAAAATATACAATACTCGTATAGGTCAAGAATACCATTATTTATGGTATCGTGTACTATATAGCTACCATATAGATATTAAATTAATTAAATTGTAACAAATTGTGTACACTTATTACAATGTTAATTTCGTAGCTGATTATGTTCACGCTTATCATTTGTTCGTTGGCATTGCTTTAAATTGCACCATTTGATTTAACTTTTATTTGAAAATACCGTTTATTATAATGCATAGCAATACCGACATTTAGCAAAAAAACAATGTAATTTGTTTACTTATAATGAAAATCAGCAGTTTTGCCATCATTTTATTCCAAACGGTACTACAACGTTACACTGACGGTCGTTAAAGTAATTACTCGTATATAAATTTGATTTAAACTATATATTCGTGATTGCTTTTCAGACTGAATACGAAACGTTGAACGTGTTAAATACGAAACGATTATTCAAATCCTATGTTTTTTATCTTTCATTCTAATTGATATTCTAAAACTACATATTTACTGTAAGCAATTATAAATTTAATAATAATTAACAATTAAATGAATAAAAAAATCGTAGACATTGAATTGATTTCGCACTGAAAATGTCGCTCGGGCGCGGTTAGTGTTTTAATGTTAATCTCGACAATGTTCGTTTCCATCCTATTTCTGTTGCACAGAATACCTGCGCATATTGACTTGTTTGCAGTGGAAAATGTTTAGGGCGCGTGAAGGGTCTTCAAAACAGGATTTCTATCGTTAAAAACAAAACCGGTAAGGAACCGACAGCGTTTCTTGTCTTTACGCGTAAACCTCCGGGTAACACGGTCGTCTTAGCTCTGATCCCGACGGGAACATAGCGGTAGTTTATATCCCACTATAACACAGCTGCCGCAACCGTCCCCGGTCGAATCGATATCGAAGTAGGTACGTATCCGGAACAAGAGTGCTGTTTCCAAGAAGTTCTCCTCGGCCAACTACCGCGACAGCTGGAGATCATAACGCGCAGCGAAAAATTGGAAAAAAATTAAAAAAAAAAAAAAAAAAACCCAGAGATAAAGTACCCGAACTCGGCCGTTCGTCACGCGCTCGCCGTCGTCCCGCGTGCACCGCACAGCACGATAAGGGATACAAAAACTGTAACGGTATCGTAAACATTACCTGTGCGTCTGTGCATCGTGTATATTGTGACGTGTGGCGGCAAAACGTTTTGCGATAAATGTCCGATGGTCTGCCGGCATCGTCGTCTTATCGTCGCACCTGACGGAACGCCAACCGCGAACCGCGGTGGTCGCCGGTCGCGTCCACGGCTGCCGAGTTCGACAGCGACGTGACGGAAATATTAAAAAAAAAAAAAAAATGAATAAAAACGTCTCGTCGTTCGACCGGGAACGATTGAACGTGCAAAAGACGTCGACGACAATGGTGCACGGGTTCGCGAGTAGAACGTCGTTTCGCGTCCAAGTTGGTCGGCGCGGAGGTCGTGGTATTTACCGCGAGGTCGTCGTAAGACTACTCGAGTGCATGTGCAACGGTTGCGACAGTGCAACTACGTACCGTGGTTAGGTTAGGTGGTCATGTACGCGCGCGGTCGCACTGCCGTGAAGTACCATCGATGGGCAAACGACCGTCGACCGGTTACGGAATAACCGATAATCCCTTGTCCTCGGGCGATTGGGTGTTCCGGTGCGATGTCCGGAATACGCCGTGCCGGCACGCGCACGCGATACGGTTGTCCCGTCGGGCGGCGGGTGAAAGCGTCGCCGTAGTCGTCCGCGACTCGTGACCGTTACCGTCGACGCGTAGCATGGTATACCGCGGTTGTCGAGGGGCGACGTAGGGGGAACGAACGTGAGGGATGGAACGATTTGAAGGGGGGGAAAGAAAAATTGAAAAAAAAACCCCGTCGCGAGCCGGCCGAGGGGTGAGGAGAGAGAGCCGAACAATACGACACCCCGAGCCTTAGTTCAAATGTTATAGGTGTTATTGGCCTTCGAAGGCGTATGGATGTGTGTGTGCGCGTGCGGCAAAATGAATGATTGTGTAGACAAGGGGCGAACGTGAGCCTAGCTAGCGGTGGGGCGAAAGAACAAAGAACACACAATTGGTGGCCGTGAATAAAGGAAAAGAAAAAAAAAGTGTTCGCCAAGTATTACAAGAAAAATGCTTTGATCGATCGTCATCGGCCGATGAAAATGTCGATTTGAAGGTCTCGGTGGTGAAGAAGGCGGAAAAAAAATTGGCACAATATAATCAGTGTTAAGTAGTACCTATCGATGTGATGTGAACGAAATAATAGAAAAAAAGAAAAAATAATTTTCAAAGGCAAATTAAAAAAAAATAATAAATAAAAATAAAAAATAAACAATGTAAAGAAAAAAAGAAAAAAATTACCTCTGTCTGCTGTATCTGATTTTCGCTTGTTAAATGTACTCGTACACAAAGTGTATTTCCATAATAACAAATGTATAGAAATTTTATTTGTTTTTACAAGTCGACAGGTCTCCGGCCAATGTTAATATGCATATTTGTTTATGTGACAATATTATGATAGTATATAATTATTTTTTATACAAAACGAAATCAATCGATAAAATATTACTAATTTATGATTGAAAAAAAGTGAAAAAAAAAAAAGAATTATATTTGGTATGTACGTATAACAAATGTTCAAATAACATTTTCATTATTCAAAATATCTTAAAAATACGTTTCATTTTTTAATATAGATCTTAAGTGTTTTTCTCTCAATATAATAAGTATCCATTTCCTTTTTTTTTCTTTTTTAAATCGTAAAATTTTTATGCACCACATTTTATGATCCTTAAAACCAATTTTAAAATATTAATTTAATACCTACAGCGTTCATAATTAATGATAAAAATTACTTTCATTCATATAAAACCACTGAAAATTAAATTAAATAAAAATCGAAATATGTTCATCATTTACATACTCGTATATAAGGTTTATTTTATCTTTTTTACATTTTCCATTTTTATGAATTAATTTTTTTTTTAACTCGGTTGTTATTAAATTATGAATAATATTCTTATACTCAAATAATAAAATTGCGTATTAAGCATTTAATACCTGCATAGGGTTTAATAGATGGTCAAAATAATTTGAATTTATAATGTATTTCTTTTTCATTCATATTAATTGCTTGGATAATATTAACATTTTGCTGAAGAAATAACCGTGGATATAAAATAACAGAACAACAGTTTCTAGTAGACGGTTTGTTTTTATTTAATAGCAATAATTAATTAACTTCTTCCACACCAAAAAAATTTCATAGTTAAATTCTTTCTGTAAATTTTAGAAAATTTTAGTGATTATAAAAATAAAAACGAATTGAGGTAAGCAATATTTATTATAGGACATAGTATCGTATTATTTATTATCATAAAAAAAAAATTGTTTTCATGAATTTGATTACTGTAAGAAAAATAATAAATTCAAAATATAATTATATTAACTATATTATTTTAACACTTAATTCATATATTTATTTTAATAACTGTATAAAATTTAAACTTTCTAATGGAATAACTCAATATTTATTTCAAGTGTAACTTTCAAAAATAGGAAAATGGTATTTTAAATGCTTTATATATATATATATATATATTGGACAAGATACAGGGACTGAGTGTCATTATTTGTTTTACTTAGTTCATTCAATATAAGAAAATATATTTTTCTACAGTAAATAATTACAAAATTTATCGGAATAAATTTTTATATTATAATCACAAATATAAAAATATTTAAAGTTATTAATTTAAATTTCATTGGACTATATTAATATTTAGTTGATTGTTTAGGAAATAGAAATATGGGACATAAAATAATTTTTAAAAAAAAATTAATAAGAAAACATTTAAATGTTTAAAATCAAACGAAAGGGTTTCAACGGAACTCTATAAAATGTAGTGGGTCTTAGATTTATAGTATATAGAGTAAGTAAAAGCTAATTAAGAACATTCAATTTACGTAGAGTCCTAGAATTTTAATTCTGTTTCAGATGGTTGTCATAAAATAAAAATGTACATTTTGATGATCTTTGATGATTTTTAACTTAATTAAACAAACGCATGTGTAGTACAAATTTCTTTTCTTAAATAACAACCACCTATTGTAGCCACTAATTATTTTTTTGTCTTAGTTTTTGATGAATTTCAATAATTTATTATTAAATTATTTATATTAATTATATAATTATATATATTTATATATTCATAAGTTAGTAAAAATATACAATTATTTTTAATTTACCTCATAAAAATTAATTTAAATTTAAGTGTTAGTAGTAGCCACTCAAAGTGTCTGTAAATTCCTAGCTATCGATTTGGAAACTTAAATGCTCAGTTGGTTGGTGTTTTATTTTTGGATCAAGTGTGTGTTATTATTTTAAATTAAAATTAAATATTTCACTTTCAGTTATTACCATATAATCCCAAAGCCTACATTGATAAAATACAATCGTATTATTGTATTGAATCTGATTTTCAAATTTTTCTCTCGTTGATAAAATTATTAGAGCAAAAGTATTTTTTTCAATGATTCGGCTTTTATTACTACAATTATTAAGGCAATAAGTAAATGACAAGTATCATAAGCCAGAAATGGGCAACTTACATGAGGACAGATTTTCAAACTATTAAAACGCTTACAATAAATAATTTGAACATTTTACATTCATAAATATTCCACTATTAATAACTGTATAAGTACGTTAATAATGTTTAATTTTTAAAAATAGTTAAAAATTAATTAATAGCATATGCGTAAGTCATGTACCATGTTTATACTTTTTGTAGATAATAAATTTAAAACTACGTTGGAACAATTATATATATATATAGTTGGACTGGTCGGATTTAACTTACTAGCCGCCAACAAATACTCGTCTCTGGTACGGACGGTTAACGTTATCATTTGATTTACATAAACCGATAAAATGCTAATCGTTTTAAGGTGAAATTAATAAATTGTATTTTAAAATAACGTAGTTGCATTATCATGCAAATAAAAACATTCGAAATTTATATTTATGATTTATATTTAAATATTATTTAAATATTATCTAGATAAGTTCAGGTAGTTGTAATGCGTGAAAGTAAAAAATAACGTATATTTCATACCAAGAAGAGTAGCTGATGGTTTTTAGACATTCCGTGTAAAATCGATGTTGATTTATTTTACCTTTTCGTATATGCATATAAATATACCATAATATGTGAATTCCATTCGTGCAGATGATATGTATCGTGGAAAGTGTTAGTTTTCATACATTTCCGGACAAAACGGTAAAAGTAACTGTATCTAAACAAAAATACTTGAGAATTCCATTATACGGATATGAAAACGAGATATGCCAGTTATTCCTTTATATTAGTACACAAAGGATATGTGCATATAAATTCTTGCAGTGGTGTTTATTGCTGCTAAACACGTGAAAATTATTCCCTTAGATCGTCTGAAAATCAAAAATATTTGTAAAGTTGCTATAAAAAACCACTTGGAGTATGGTAGTGGAGAAATACAATGTGAGTTAAGTAACTTTTTCGTATTGTTTGATAATGAATAAGACAGAAGACTTGTAAAATTAGCATATTTGTTTTGCATAAAAACAAAAATATCAGAGTACAAAACAAACACCTTTCATTCTTTCACATAACAAGTTTTGAAATTAAATTGTGTATACAAATGCATATTTGAAGTTTTTTTTTTATTGTTTTAAGGACATATTTCTTTTATTTTATGCTTTTAGATGCATGTTTCAAATTATTTTTCATTTTATTTGTTATTATCTGTTATTCTTATCTGTTGACGTTTTTATTTCATCTAATATACGACCAAATTATTGTTGAATTAAAAATAATTTTAAACTTTGATCACATACTATGATTGTTCGCAGACGCATGTTTTTCCTAGAAATACTTCTCGATGATTGCCAATTAGATTAATTTTATTTATGAATACGTAGACTACATTATACAATTTCCGGTAGGACGTTAACGGTTTTGTTGCGGACTTACATAAATGTAGGTCCTTACGACTCATAAGACATGGATGGGACCACGTAGATCATAAATAATAGAAATCGGGAAATGATTATTATTAATATAATATTCGTATTCGTATGAATAGAAAGGAATGATTAAGACCCGAGGGTGACACGAATATGAGCTGTCAGGCTACATTTCAAAGTATTATAATAAATGCAATTAATAAAAGCACATAAAAAAATATGAGAAATGTGCGAATAGTAATATTACCGAGGTCAACCATTTAAATTACAATTTAGCACCTCAGGGTAGTAACAATAATTGGAAATAATTTATTACATAGAAATGCGCGACTAATTCCCACGAGACTTAAGTATATAAGGGGGTTAGGAATAGACCAATATTCGGATGTGGTTCACAGGTATAGTCGCAAGCACCTTCACGCCAGATCATTTTTAAATAGTGTTTTTGTACTTAGAAGAATTCTTAAATAAACAGTTAAATTATATTTGAGTATTTTTTTATTTTTATTTGGAATATTATCCTAAAAACTTAACCATCGTTACGATTGGACGACGGCACGCAACAGTTTCATAAAGAATACCGAAATATGTTGTTGCGCCTACTGACATTAGTCAATCCGCTGTTCATTAATAATTTAATATTTTAGTCCATTGTTTCTCAACCTTTTTAGTGTCGCGACCCCCAAAATAGGTATAAAATATGGTCAATCACTTCGCGACCCCCCTCCCTTCATCTATATTATGTAAAAATTTA